TAAGAGGCATGGTGTTTATGTTTGACCTTTTGATGACAAGCCTCACTGAGATTCTCAGAAATGGGAGGCAGTGGAATAAGAATAACTGGAGAAGTCGCTTTTTGCTTAAAGCTTATTACTTGGTTTACACATTAGTATTAGATAGAATGGGAAGAACAGTAAAAGGAGAGTTTTAAAAAAAAAAAAAAAACACAAAAAACAAAAATAAACTTAGCTCTGTGGAACTGTAGAGTGTTACTATAGATAGGTTGCAAGACAAAAGAGCTGTCTTGGCATGTTTATGGCTCAAAGATGTGCAGCCTCATCTGCAGAACTCCTTTCTATCCTAAGGAGTTTTTCTTAGGAATTTCATACTTCAGCTAGCACACTAAAATGTAGGTTTAATCACTGCATTTTGTCTCAATTTTTGATTTATCATTTTGGTCTGTCATGACCCCATTTTCTGTCTCTTAGCTTGGCTCTTAATTTCCCACATATGTGGTTATTGGAGTGATTTGTTGAGAAACATAAACCTGTATTGGTTGGTTGGGTACTTTTGGACACGTGACATACGCAACAGCAAATATCAAAACTCAGATGCTGAAGTCCCACGTGGTACATGCTATCTAACGCTTAGCTGACCGCTGTTGATTTGGAAGTTTCCAAGCTAACTGCATGACATCTGCAACATGTTTATTTTCATGGAATTTTGTGAGGCTTTAGCAAAGGAAGAGATAATGTTTAGTGTGTTAAAACACTAAACACAGTGGGTTGTCTCTGTATCAGGTCTTAAAACAGTAAACACAGTGGGTTGTCTCGGTATCAGATCTCATGCAATAGTATTTTGCATAGGGAAAAACATAGCAAGAATAATTCATCAGTTCATTGCTTAGATTTATTATGTGAAATAAAAACAAAAATCTGTCTTGACTCTCTAGTAGTACTGTAATACTGGAGAAAAAAACTGTTTCTCAGCAGTGGAAGAAGAAAATGATTCCTTCTGTTCCTCTGAAGTAGAAGGGTACTCAGTGGCTGGCAGTGAATGAGCAATTCCATTGTGAAGAGGGGTCGTTTTATTTTATTTCCTGTTATGGTAAGAAAATTACTTTTTTCAAAGTCACATTTTACTTCACGATCAGAGCTTAGCAAATGTTCTTTGGTTTCTTTAACTTCTCAGTTGTGCTTGAAAAATTCTTATTAAGGTCTGCCTTCAAAATGTTGCCTTCTCTTTTATTCAAAGAGTTAGCTGTGCTCAGTCATGTTAGAAAATAGGAGCATTGCTGGATACTTTGACTTTTTCCCTCTCCATTATTCAGCGGCCCGCAAATGTTGACTTTAAATAAAGACAGTATAATCCTTCGTGCTGTGAAACTATTAAATTGAGGGATCATTTGCCGCACAATTGACAATTTTTTATAAAATCCTAATTTCCTTTGCTGCTACTTTTAAGAGAAATGTTGTTTAGTATTCCCTCTTTTTCAGCCCAAATAAAAGGATGTAATGATGAATGATGTTTTTCTTGGAAGTTAATTTTTCTGTTCTACCATCTTTACTGCAGGCCATCCAGTTCTCATGTTATCTTGTAGTTTTGATTTGCATCACATTTCTATACATAAAAGTGGAATCTTAACTTTACTACTTTTCTACTTTTAGCAGTAAACTTCATCATAGTTACTTCACTCTTCAATGCAGTGCAAAAACAGAAACATATTTCATTAAGTGTTATTGGTTGTTCTAGGCTTTTTATGGCCTGGAAGAAGCAATGGGACTGCTCTTTGGATAGAACTTTGGAGCTAACTAATGAGAGTTCTGGGGTAGCCTGCAGTCATAAATACACTTGCCAATTTAACTTTTGGACAAGTAAACATGCCCTTCATTTTGAGAGTGTTAATTCATCTTCTCTCTTCTTACATACCTTAATCTCTCTCCTGTACCATCAAATGACAATCTCATACATTATTAATCCCATTTGATGTTAAGCTGTACAAAAAGTTCTGCTTGCTGCCAAGGTTCAAGATTATAGAGCATTGCCTGTGGTTTGTGCTGTGATGCTTGACTCTCTAAGGAAAGCAGAGAAACTGTGTGGAAAGGTAACACTGATTTTAGTTTAACACTTGATCTCTGCAAGCATGTAGAGGACAAAGTTCTTCAGGAAGAAGTAAGGGATGCTGAAAAATATCATCCAAAAGTAGCTGTTGAACTGTTCTGAGAGGACTTGCTTTGTGTAGTTAAGCATGGCACTTACCCTCTGCAAGCCAGTTGTGCTATAAGAGTAGCTGGGCCAGTTTATCAATACCAGAGCTTCTGTAGTAAATCTTCAGAACTTGCTGGTGATTACTTGTAATCTTCCAAATAATTCTTGTAGTTTAGCAGAGATGAAAGTTTCTAGTTTGTCATGTTGTGTGTGCCCTCTAGGTAATAACTTAAACAATTTAAAGGAGAAGGAGAGTGCACTTATTTAAGATGAACCAAACAAAATTTGTGTGTCCTTCTGGTAAACAGTCTAGGACAAGCTGGTAAGTAGTGAGTTCACTACTCCAGGGAAGGTGCCTGCCTGGAGCGGAGGGCACAGTGGGACGCCAGTCTAATAGAAGCATTAAAAAGCACTGTGTGAGATATTCTTGTCAGCTGCTGGGATTTTCTGCACTGGAGAAAACCATGTACCCCTCTATCTCCCCATGGAAAGAGAGGAGGGTGTCTTAAAGACCTTGTGTTCTGGGTTCTCTCATCTAGCAATTATCAGCTTCTCTGAGTTTAGAATTTTCTTGTTCTAGTTCTTTTTTTTTTAAATTTATTTTTTATTTGTTATAAAGTAACTGTACTTCTCATTCTTCAGTGTGCTGGTGGAAATTCAAGGAGGAATTGCTAACGTATAGTAAGAGGTGGGTAAAATGGCAGGGAACTCTTCTTTTATCATGAGGGAATCAGTGTTAATAAGTCAGATCAGTGATTTTTATTTAGTCAAAATAAAAACACCAAAAACATATGTTTACTTGCTTTACCAGCTGTCATAAAATTTTGGAGAAAAAAGGTTGCTGCCAAGCTTTCCAAGGGGAATATTTCACAGAAGTATTTTAACCTTTATACCTTACAAAACCAATTGGCTTCTTTTTTCTTATAAAGTTTTTTTTTTTTTTTTTTTTTTTTTTGCTGAGATTCTACTGCAGCAAAGCTTTAGATGTGAGGAAAAATACCAGCTCTGAAAGAAATGACTGGACTGCCTTCTAGTGGTTTTGGTTATAGGCTACTCTTTACAAAAAAGAACTCATCTCTTCAAGTGAATCATATTCCAGATTTAATAAGCTCCCCCCAGAATCTTAGTATTGAACAACTAAAAGTGTGTTCTATGATATTTGCCCTTTAAGAAGCACAAGGCAGATCATACTAGCCACTTAAGGTGGGCTGGTTGCGTAATCTTAAGAGAAGTCCTTTAACCTGTTTCTATTATTTTGGGTAGTATAGAGGCATCTACTGCTACATCAGGAGAGGTTAATTTTAAAATAAATGGCTCAACTTTTTAATTCCTTTGGATAGTGTTAAAAAAAAAAAAAAGTGATAAAGTCCCAAGGAAAGTAATGTGGTGTTAATCATTTTAAATTTGATTTGTGTCATCAGACAGTAGCAAAAGAGCACCTTATACAAAAGTAGTGAAGACATTGATCTGAGAAGGTGTAGGGGATTTGAATGTTTGGTATTAAGTAAATAAACAGACCTAAATTGTTGCAACTCCCTCATAATTTTTCTTGGTGTCATAGCAAGTATTATTGTACACTTCTCTTCTGCTACTGCTTGTCAGTAGGAAATATTAAGATCTCTGTAAATAGATGCATGTTTTACTGGGTTCTGACTTTAATGTACATACAGTATGTTCTCCTGATGACTCATATAGTTCATCTTCATGTTAACAGAAATGAAAGCCTATCGTTATTACCATCAACAGCTTTATTATGAATTTCCAACTTTGTGTACCCTTTCATGATTGTTTTGTTTCCCATCAGGGACCAAAACTTACACTGGTGAGAGTGAAGATTTTTTTTTCTCCTGTTAGAATGATAGGGCAGAAATGATATCTTAAGTAATATCCTGAAATCAGAACACTTTAGAATGCTCTTAACTTCAGTAAGAGTCCTAGAATTGACATCTTATTGGAAATTTATTGTGAAGAGAAAAATTATGCTTCTGAAGTTTGGTGCAAATTATCTTCCAGAAATAACATAATTAGATATGCAGAGATTTTATTGCTTTTTCCTGTATGCTGATACTTCAAATAAATAAATAAGAAAATTAGAGCAGGGCAGTGTCAACTTTATTTGGAGGTTATATTAAAGGCAATTCTCTATGATAAAGATGTGCAGATACAGTTGAAGAGCTGTAGAGATCACTACATTTCTAGTAGGGTAGGTTAAGGTGCACTTTACAAGAAGGTAACTAGTTGCAAAATTAAACCTTAAGTAAGTTGGCAGAGAAGTTAAGTAGTGAGATCTTAGTTTTAATCTGGATAACAGCCTTGCAAAGATGCTGAAGGAAACTGATAACTGAAGTGTGACACAGATTGAGTTAAATGAAGGGATAGGTATGTACAGAAATGGCAGCAGTGCTCAAGGACACTATAATATAGAGGGTGACAGGAGACTCTTGAATCAGCAAATTATGATCAAATTTGTGAAGAGGCTGACTACTGGAAAAGATTGATAACCTTCAGTCTGAAGTATTAGTGTACATAGGCTCTTAAATCTGTCATTAAACTTGAAAGAAGGCAGTTACAACTTATATTGACAAAGATAAGTACCATGTGGAGGCAAAAGTCATGAGAGGTATTAAAAATGGTCCAGCTATTTACTAATACTGTAAAAATAACACTTATGACTAGAGGAGGAGAAGTAACTTCCACTGGTGTCAGAAGAATCCTGTGTTAAAATATGGCTGTTACTGTAATTTTTTTTTTCAATTGCTTTCAAAGAATGTTTGTGATACCTTTGATAAAAGTAAAATCATTATTTTGAATTTGTGTATGTTCACAGGCTTACTGGTGTTAATGTCAATCTGATTACCTGTGTTTTCTTAGTCAGCATTGGTGAGTAACACAGCTAAATAGTTTGTAAGTTTGAACCTGGAAAAAATATTGTTTATATCTCATCAGGAATGATTTTTGTAAGCAAAAAAAAAAAATCACTAACTGAAAATCACTAACTGAAGCTGATGGAGATTAAGTTAAAATGGATAATATTTCACTTTCGGCCGTTACATTCTTTTTTGATGATTTGTATTTCCCAGCAGTGAAAGCCTGTGGTGGCTATGAAAATTGGGCATTTTAAAGGTCAAGAATCACAGTATGGTGAACTTGTCTTTTGTGGTAGTTTTGTTCCTATGTGCCGAACGCTAGATTTCTGGCTTACAAGATTCTCTTCCTCGTCCTTGTGAGAAATAGAAATGAGGATTAACTGAAAACTCTTCTACTCAACTATGTATACAAGGCTATTTTTTTCAACTCTGCATGGAGGGAAATTTTGACTTTTTTTTTTTTTTTTGGGGGGGGGGGCTCTTTTTGAAGTTCTTAGTGTTTAATTGTACTGTGTTTTTTTTTTTTTAAGATTCCATTTGAATTACCGACTTCATTCTGAAACTGAAATTTTGATTCTGTATATGACCTTACCTTATAAGAATACAGAATAAATAACAGCTAAGGAGAAGAGACCATGATTCCATTACTGCTTATGAGTGATATAACTCCTTTTGAACAGTTCCTTTGAGGCAGCACAGAAAATGCATGGTGCTAGAGAGCAGGCCCTGAAAAAACTTACTAATCCTTCAAGTATTTTTTTCCTTGGGAATAGTTCATTATTTTTATTATTTTTTTCCCAACCTGTGATTGAGGTTTTCATGCTTGGGAGTTTCTAACTATGTCATAGTTTATGTAGCTATTTTATTGTGCTAAGTCACCCATGGAACTTGAAGTTTTTAGTTTAAGTACAAGCCTTTAATCTCAGTACACTGTAGTCTATGGTAGCCTTAGGGATGTTCAAAACTTCTAGCTAATATTCTTTGCTTATCTTGGGGGCCAGCTGAATGCAAAGCAGGCTTTTTATCATTCTACTTCAGTATCTTTAGTCATTGCCCTGATTTCTGTAATAAAATGACATATGCATTTTACATTATCAATATAGTAGTTATCCAACAGAAGCACATAAATGGGAATTAGTGTTTGTCAAGTAATTGAAGTGTTCATCTTAATTCAGTTTGGTTCTAGATTTCTGTCATAAAAGATTGGATAGGTTTCTTGCAAGTTCTTATATCTCATTTACATCTCTGATGTCTTCATGACCGCTCTAAATCTCTGAGGAGAACTAAGGTATAGATTAAAAACCTTTCCTCCTTAAAAATGTTGAGCTACCTGACAGTAATCAATTAAAAACACAGGCTGGAGGTAGGATTAAACTAACCAAGAAGGTAGTTTAAAAATAGGCTTTAAAACTCAAATCATTATTGACCAGAAATTCTTCAGGGACATTAACAATGTATTTGATAGTTGCCAAGGAAACACAACCTTCCCAGTGGCAGTATGCATTGCACGTAATAAGTAACTGAAGTAATTCTGACAAAGACTGATCTACTTGGCCATATCTATTCTTCCTTTAGTGTCTGAAAAAACTGCAAATGTGTTTACATTCAGGTAGATTAGTTCTCACTGTATATGCTGCACCATTACAGCTTCATATTTGAAGTTGCAATTCAATTCAAAACAAAAACAGGATATCAGTTTTTCCTGATTGAAACACTGTCATTTTGCAATGAAACAGGCAGTAGATGTGTGTCTGGCCTGCCATTCTTGATTAACCATAGGGCGTTTGGAGGAGGCAAAAGCTATTTGCATAATTGTATTATGTTTATGCTATATATTGATGCAATACAGAATCAGTGTATTCAACCCAGAAAGTCTAAAATAGCAGCAGACAGTTTTGCAGAGCTTCATAGTGTATTTTAACATGTATGTGTAGAACTCTATACCACTGTAGCAAATGCAGCATGAACTTGATTTATTTTTTGTGCCTCAGGGTAAATGGAAGTGTTGAGAGTAAGAAATTTCCTGTTCAGATATGGTGGAAGTGCAGTGAAGAACCTAGGGAGTAATCCCAATCCATTAAAAATATAAGAAAATAACACATTATTTAAGATTGGTACTGAGGTATCAAATTATGGTAATGGAAGCAAAGCAAAATTGCCAAAATGGATCTTCTACCCAAGTGACCAACCTGATTTCTTGAAGTGCTAAAAAGATCTAAAAGAAACGAGAAAATACCTGTCAAAGTGGCATGTGTAACATCAGAAAGATAGGGGTTTCAATTCTGCGTTCCTTAGTGCTGTAACTGAATCAAGGTGACCTGGTCTATGCATAACTTCCTTAATTGTAATGAATGTTTTAGACTCAAGTTGGTATTTGAAGTGTTACACATAGTCATGACATATATAGCACTCTTTGAGGAGACTACTGTTGAGGCTGTGGAGGCTTGTAACTCAAGTTACTGATGAGGAGAAATTGTTTCTGAAAACTTGGATTTGCAGTGAAGCTTTGGTAATTGTGAGCATTTCTGTCTTTCAGTGCTTCTAGTCACAACACTGTTACATGTGTGATGAAGTGTTTGATAACGTACTTGGATGAGGCCTTTCTACAGGATCTTGAGATCTGTAAGCGTGTGAGCCCTCATTACTACTTTCCAGGCAGGAAATACTCTCACATCTAAGCAAGTAGTATCAGCCTATGTATGGGACACTGCAATAGAAAGTGAGCATGTCTGCAGTGTTAATTACATTAATTCAAGTAAGTAGGTGACACAAATTTAATGTCTCCTGAGAAATATTCAGAAAACTGATTTTTTTTTTTTTTTTTTTTTTTTTTTTTCCGAAGACACATTTTCAGAATTTCACCATGCTTGCAGAATTGATCCTTCTACATTAAGGACATTTTTTTTTATAATTTAGCAGTACGTAATTCTTATTTCATTTTGATGTTGGCATTTGGATATTCTTTTAATGGGTTTTACTAAGAAAAATAATGACTTGATTAAACAGTGGCTGAAATAATCCCAGAAGATGTCTTTTACACCATAAATTAATGCATGTTGTTGTCGTATCTTTTATATAACTGATTGGTCCTTTCTCCCCTCTCCTCCCCTCCCCATGTTTAGGTTGATCTCCATTTTACAAAATAAATCATAGCTAAAATTCAGTGAAGACCTTCCTATATTTTAACCTGCGTCAAATATGCTTGAATCCATTATCCAAGCACAGTTGGGAAACGGATCACAGCTCTTGCTTGCTGCCATGTTGCTGTGATCTTTGGCAGCTAGAACACCTTTTCTAAGGGGGAGAAAGAATGACTGAGAATGGCTTGAATTAAATATGTATCTCATCTTTATAGAGGAGTCAAGAAGAGATTAAAATCATAAAAGCATTTCCTGAGGCACATAATCTACCTAGACCTAAATTATTCAGAAAATCGTAACTTTTTTTTCTGAAACTTTGAAATACATGTGCTGTAACTTCAGTGAAGCATCTGTGAGTTCGTTGTTTTTATACTGGCATGAAATGAAATATATCTTAATTTGGGATTTCTAACTGGGTATTTTATAAAGATGCTGTACACTAACTGTTCACACTTAAATATTTCCAACACAAAGATATCAATGGCCAGGCCATAAGCATTGCATAAATTTATCTAAAAATGCAACAGATAATCAGTTAAATTATTACAAATCAATCCTTGAATAATTGTAATAAATTCTGTAAAAAAAGCATCGTAGTTTACCTTTGTGTGGAGCAAGCAAAGTGTAGTAATTTTCCAAATGTATTTCTATTTTGTTTACCTTGATCAAACTCAGATGTTTAGTACATGCATGCAAGGAATAGTCAAGCATGTCTTTGGATTTGGAAGTGATGCATGTCATCTCTTTTGGCTTCTTTTATCAAAGAGCTAATTAAAAATCAAAGTAATATAAACAGTCAAAATGAAACCTTCAATAGAATTTAAGTTGTATGCTACTGCCATGAGAAGCATTTTTTATATGGCTCCAAAAATAAGAATTCCAGAGCTTGTTTTGAATTCAGAAATGAAACTTGCAATGAAGTTTTAGACTAAACTCAAGATGCTCGCTTAAGGTTTAAAAAATAAATTGTTCTTTGATGTTCAACTTTGGATGCTCTCTTTGGGGTGAGGGGAGACAAATCTAGTTGCATTTGATGTCATTGGTATAGAAGTATTTGTTCATCTTAAACTTCAGAACTATGAGCAAAAAGCAGGCCTTCTTTGAGTACTAATAGAGATGTTTGGTGACTTACCTTCTTTAATTACTATCTCAGTAGTACAAACATCCCTTGTTCTTACAGTGACGTGATGCTCGCGTGGATAAGTAAGAATAGGAATTCATCTTTTTCTGTGGCTGGTTTTTTTGCTGTTAAAGTTAAGAATATAGTGCAGAAAAGAAGGTACAAAAGTACATTCTGCTAGTACATTCAATGTCTTTGCTCTCTGAAACATAATCAAAATTGTTTATTCAATATTTGTAGAACATTTGACTGTCAGGCCATTAATAAAATGTCTTTTTTTGAGAACATTCATATCTTAGCTGGAGCAATAAAAATTCTGTTGTAAATAAGCAACATACTCAGATAACTTTGGGTAGTTTGGGAAAAGCTTTTCATAGAAAATGTGATACTGGCATTCTTCAAAAATTTTGATTGGAATTTTTTAATGTTATATTAATAATAATAGAGCTGGTTTGATGTGTCCTTTTTCATATTTGCTCTATTAACAGTAATAACTATTATATTTAGTTACGGTTTCTGGATGTCTGCACTGAATTTTTTTAGGAGTGCACTAGAGACAAAAATCCAATTTTTCCTTCCTTTTCTTTATCTCCATTTTACTTCCTCCCCTTCCTTTGGATTCCATGGAATTTCTTCTTCATGTTTTGTTGTTCAAGCGTATTGCATTGAATGCAACACTGTATTTCCCGCTATCACTAAGAAATTTTAAATTCCTGTTATCATTACATGCAAGTCCTTTTGCAGGTTTATTATATTTCCCTCAGGCCATTGTCTCAGCCCTCTTTTATATCAAATGATTATGATATAAATGGATCTTGTATTTTAAATGAGTACTGATGTAAATTGCTAATGGTGTAATAGTGTATTTTGTGGTTGTATTTGTTGCTTTTTAACTTTATGAATGTTGATTCCCAAGGAATAAAGATTTACTGTGGAGGAAATGCTTGAATTTTATTTATTTAGTTAGTTATTTTAGTTCTGGAGCTGAGGTGAACATTGACAATTATGACCAACCAAACACAGAGCTCAGAACTCAAGTGTTTTACAAGGCAATCAAACTGGTTCAGTCAAACACACATGACAAAGAAACAGTAAAGCCAATACTTACTGTCAAATCATGTTAAAATGTTAGTTAAAGCATGTATGGATGATATTCTTCAAAAATATTTTTTCTATTTAATAACATGAGAAGCTTGATTTAAAAACAAACAAACAAAACATTAGTTAAAAATGGGAACTGAACTTCTGATACGATTTTTTTTAAAAAAGGGTAATGTGCCATTGGCAACAGAGGGAAGAGGAACGAAAGGAGTAAAGGTTACTAAAGACTGCTATGTACATGCTTATATGCATGTAGTTTTGTCTGAGGAAGGAAAAAAAATGTGCAAACGTGTTCCAAGTTATGATGAAGGGCTTACTTATTTAATCCTTATCACTTCTGCAGCTTGGTTGTAGATCTGTTCTGCTGCTAGCTTCTCTCAGCAGTCTCCTACTCTGTCTTCCTAAACAGCAGCAAAGTCTATTCAGCTGCTGCAATATGGAGGAGTAGAAAGGAAAAACAGTGATCAAGAAGCCAGCAATATATGAGCAATCTTTAGCAGTGTTCTCCTTGAGCTTTAAGTAAGCAAGCGGCAAGGAAAGGAGAACAGGAATGGGCAGATACCATCTTTTCTGTCAAAATGACTGTGGCTAAACAGTAAATGGTACACCAGAAGGAAACTGATAACACATAGCTACACCATCTGTTATGGTGGGAGTATCCATATGGAATGAAGATCATAGAATCATAGCATGGCTTGGGTTGGAAGAGACCTTAAAGTCCATCCTATTCCAACCCCCTGCCATGGGCAGGAACACCTCCCAGCAGCCCAGGCTGCCCAAGTTCCATCCAGCCTATCTTTGGGCATTTCCAGGGATAGGGCAGCCATAGCTCTGGGCAGCCTGGGTCAGGGCCTCACCACCCTCATGGTGAAGAATTTCTTTCTTATATCTGATATAAATATAACCTTTTGAAGTTTATAGCCATTCCCTTTGTCCTATTGCTATGTACCCATGTAAAAAGTCTCCATCTTTTTTTTATAAGCCCTGTTCAAGTACTGAAAATCTGCTATAAGGTCTGCCCAGAGCCTTCTCTTCTCCAGGCTGAAGAACCCAGTGCTTTCACTGGAGAGGTGCTCCAGACCTCTGAGCATCCTCAAGGCCTCCTTTATGTTGTACTCGAATAAGTGAAATGAAGCTGCTACTGATTATCTATCTTGTATCTAGTATCTTGTTGGAGTAGGATGGAGTTTATTTTCCATCTCCTCAATAGTGTTAAAATTGTACCTATTTTGTGATATCAGAGGGCCCAGCTTTGCTCACACCAATGGTAATCAGGAGTGGTGAGGGAGGAAAAATAAATATTTTAAGGATAGATGGCAGGTGTTATGGCCATGCTCTGTTTCACCACTTGCTGTGACTTGTTGTGGCTTCAGGTAATTGCGTATGCACTAATCTAAACTAAGAAGAGAGCAAGTAAGTAAAGAAGTAACTTTCTAAACTAGTAGCTCTGAATGTGTTCTGTGCTTGACAAAAACCTTCATGTTAGTATGGAGAGGAACTTGAAAAAGACTGTTATGCGTTATAATCATTTATTGTATGCTTTGCTAACTTTGCCAAGTCAGCTGTGCTTTCTCTAACTCAAGGCAGTATAACTTGATTTTAAGATACATTGCTAGCTAGGATGATAATATACTAAAGTTTCTTGAAGTGTCTCAATTCCTTTAAATATGGACTAGAGCACACTGTAAAGGACAAACGTTCTGTATAGTGTTTCATGTGCTGTATGGTGTTTCACATGCTTACTTGCATGTGGCTGTTGTAGAAGAATGGTAAGGGTTACTGAAGGGGTGAAAATAAAGGATCTTGTTAATTCATGACGATTTAATTAAAACATCTTGTGCTTTTCTATTCTAAAATGAGAATTTGAATTGGTAGTAAATAGGTAAATTGGCATTATTACATGTTGACAGTCTCTGCAACAGCAGTATCTCAGTAGTTCATGTGGTGATAAGCCTGAAACTTATTTAAATTCTTTCAGTAAGAAAACACCTTTTCTTTGGGGGGAGAGAGGGATACAAGAAAAGTAATTTTTAATGTCAGATATCTAATGTCTACATGCTGTGGAAAATGACCTTGTTACAGGTATAGTGCTTACTGTTAATCTGGAGGTAGAGTGATAAGGATCTAAAGTATAGTCTTATGGTCCTGTAGCTCAGAGTTTGATCATATTACTATTTGACTGTTGTGGTTATACCCATCCAGAGATCCTGAGGTACTCAGGCAAATTATATATAATTGGTTATTTTGGTCACTGTTTACTGAACCTGCTCAATGCCAGTTTCTGCTAGATGACAACTCAACCATTTTTTTGTGCTAGTGATAATGCTACTTTGAATGCCAATGTAATAAGAACACTGATTGGAAGAAAACTAAACTGAGTACTTGGTGTGTCCTAGAGTTTCCAGCCAACGTAGTCGATAAGGTTTCACAGATGTTGAGACTGATATTATTGTTACTTTTAAAAAAATAATTAATAAAGGATAGGGGAGCCTGGACCAGTGAGAGTGGCTTTTTTGCAGCACCAGAAATAATTGCAAGTATTTTATATAGTGTAGCCAGTAGAATTTTTATTTGCACTAGGGAGCTTTAAAAAAAATAAAAAGCAAAAGCACTCTTGCTGCATGTTAAAATACTACATAATTATCTGTTCCACAAAGAACTGCCTTGAGGTAAGGGATAGGACTGTGATTCCTTAGGGTACCTTCCAGATCTGTGATATCTGAAAAACAAACTGATCTCTGTTGGGTAGCAGCTATCAGAGTGACTATTCACCTTTTACAAAGCTCCAAGACAAAAGATAATCTACAATATCAAAGCAAGGTGTCAAGGACATCAAGAAATATGAAGTAACTTTGCTCTACGCTCTCTTAAATACAAGTTTCAAATTGTATCTGAGGAAATTCACTGTCAGAAACTATTAACATATATTATGTAATGATGCAATTATTATTTAGCTGAGTAAACCTCAGCTGACCTTTACTCCTTATTAAACTACAATGAAACAAACTTATAGATTAGCCCTTAAAGGTTAATCTTCCTTAGGTTTATAAATGAATTTTGACAGGGTCTTGTTTTATCTTGATTGACCCAAATTAGAAAGAAGATGGAAATAGATTAAGGTTATTGACGTAGTGATGCAAAGAATCAGATAGCTTTAGCCAAGAAAAACTGATTTGCAACACCAAAGAAATGACAGCCATGTTCCAAGGTCATCTTTTCTATTTGTTTTTGTTCTTGTTTTTGTAAGCAATAACTCATTCTGTGGGGATGTAATGAAGCTGGTGTGTATAGTATGGTTGCAATCAGCAGTTAGGGAACAGACACAAAATATGTGGTAAGGAGTTCTTTATTGGCTTAGTTACTCCAAGCTGTCACCAGGTCAGGGCAAAGGCAAATAGTACTTTCCAGCTCACATTATTACCACATTATCTATTTGAGATAGCGTATATACAAACTTGAAAATTCCAGGGTTTCCAACATTTTTCTTGGTGTTTTTTTTTTTTTTTGTTTGTTTGTTTTGTTTTGTTTTGTTCTGTTGTGGGTGTTGATTTGTTTGTTTTCTTACTGTAAGTCAGTTGACTCGCAAGGTCTAACTGAGTTGCTGTTCTTAATACATGTATGCTGGCTGTTTACTAGTGCTTGTAAAAATTCATGGCTCACTTTGTTAAATATATTTACCTCCAACATTTGACATCAGAAAAACTTGAAAGAGGAAATTCAAGGAATTAAGCCCCTTCATGTGTTTTGGTGTGTTTGTTTTAAAATTGTAAAAGTTTGGCTCCAAACCAGAGGAGCAGTCAGAAATAAAGATAAATTCTCATGAAATTTTATCTGTGAGCTCAAGTCTTGCCTGTAAGAGTCCATGCCATAAATTTTACTGTTATACATTCTTGTTTGAACCAAGCTCATAAAGACAAGATGCATAAAACTGAAAGATTTCAAGGTAGTAGCAAATCCAGTATGTGACATCATGAGCATGCCTGAAACTAGGTAGGGTGTGTAGTGAAGAGCACATCCTTGTGCTTCTAGATTTTTATTTTTCCAGGGTTGCAAATTTGTCACAAAATATAAATTGAAACATTCATACTTAAATGTCTGAACAGTACATCCTACTGCAGAATATGATCTATCTAACTTGCTTCCAGCATACACATTGTTGTCATGGTAGCATTCTGTATATGTAGGAGTTAAATACATGCTGCAAAATAAGTGTTTTGAACATGTGGGATGGAATTTCTTTTCAATCAGAAAGGTGGCTTGTGAGTCTGAGAATAACTCAGTGCTGAGGACAGGTTTTGGCCTGTAACAAACTCAATTTTAATTAACCTGAATGCTTTAGGCATTGGATTTTCTTAGATGGTTTGCACTTCAGGAGTTCTAAGATTTCTGTTGGGTTCTGTTTATATGTAGTCTGTGTTTTTTTTTTTTTTTTGTATGTTTTTTTAAGTACTGCTGAACAGCAAGGGTTTTCTTATGTTTAGTAAAGAATAGAAATAACTTGCTGAAATCTCTTCTGCTTCAGGATTATAGTTTTCTTAGCAAATGTAACCAGACTGGTTTATGAAATAGTGTTCTTATCTTTCCTTTTTCTTTTTTTATGGAAATGACCTTTTCTTACATCTAATGGTTGCAGAATATATGCCTGTCTGCCTTTCTGCCTGTCATTCTTATGGGGAGGGGGGGCGGAGGAGGGGGGGGAGGGTCAAAAAAACACAACAAAGTAGCTTTAAAGGACTGTAGTATAGTAGCATTTTGAAAAAGCTAACAGGGTTTATAATCACGCACAGAACAACTTCAAGTTACTGTTACTGTAATGAACTTGAAATATCAAGGCAATATT